TATTATCATTCATCAACAAACATCACCAAAATGATAGTATTTTGTTTCGACCGGATGTTGCGTCGTCGCATTATTCAAAACAAGTTCAACAATTTTCGGAAGCTAATAACATCAATTATGTTCGACGTCGTCAGAATCCCTCAAATGCTCCTCAAGCACGCCCTATCAAATCAATTTGGTCGTTAGTGGAACAGAAACTATATGAGAGAGCGTGGAAAGCTAAAAGTCTGAATTATTTGACTAAAAGAATTATTTTGAAAGTGGAAGAATTGAATCAAGACGTGGTTACACGTATGATTTCAGGTGTTCGAGGAAGACTTTTGAAAATGTACAGACAAGACGTTTATAGTGTTTGTTAATATATTTGTATAAACTGTTTTTTATGCTCTATTAAATAAAAGGTTAATCGCGAAAATCCGTTGAATTCTTGCTTCACAGTACGCTCGGACATCTGTACGGATACTTTTTAATGTAACAGATCAAAACATCTAATACTATCTTAGTAGATAAGACATAGACTGCGAAAATAAAGTACAAAAATTCATAGAAGATACAAGAAATTTGTTAGATTATAACTTTGTACAATCAAGCAAAAATCTGAGTAAAATTATCTAAATCATTTTTCAACGTTCAATGCTTGGTCTAGGTCTACGGAGATACTAGACTTATTCTTTCTGAATATTTACAAGTTTCGCAATAATATTTAAAATATTTGATCAAAAAGGGAGTTTTAACTTACATTGATGTTGTTGCGTAGGCATTACATGTTCTACATTATCCTCAAATACACGTCTATTTTTCCATCGTAATACTATTGCTGCAACAAAAGGTGAAATAAATCGTAATGCAAATGATAGACCACCGAAGATACCAATGATTGTAGTAATAATAAAGAGAACATCGAAACGATGTGTATATGAATAAGAACAATAAGCAGGATTGCATTGAGAATAATATAAATCAAATCGAATATCACTTATCATTTCATCAATCATTATTTTATCTAATAGCATTTGCACAGTCGAATTTACCATAAAATATTTGTTTCTAGTGTTTATTAATGGTTCTACATCTATGGTCAATGATGGATGTAAAAGAGAAAGACATGTTTGATTATAGTAGCATTCAAGTGTAGAAGAAAGTGTACCATCAATAATTAAACAATCATCTAACAGTCCTGGTATTGTAACTATATGATTGTAATTATCATTAAAAGTAGCCGGATGTGGACAGCCTGCAATATTCAAACAGGAACAATTATTAAATATACGTGGTGACATTTTTGGAGATTCCGATGAATCTAAATCTGTTGGTAAATAATGAAGATAGAAATTAGTTGCTAAAGCTGAAATAATTTGATTTGCACTTGTTGTACGACGAATGGCAAGTAAACTACGAGCAAATGTTGCTTGAGCCAAAATAATATAATTATTGAGATCTGCTTGAACTTGATTTCGAACAACTTCTTCGGCAGTTGCTCTTGGACTAAGAATTCGTGATGCATCAAAACTTGTTACAGTATCAATCCATGTTCTATTGTTCATCATACAAAAGCTAGCGATTACTTGCCAAAAAAGACTAAGAGTTCTACGAAAATCATCGGATGATAAAGATAACATATTTTGTTGATTGAATATTGAATCAATCCATGTTTGTTGAATAAACTGACTTGAACAAACTTGATGAAAGTTGATTTGAATTGTCACAAATGTATCATAAGTAATACCAAATTTTGAACAAGGACAATGAAGAGTACTCGGATAATTACGCACTAATTGCGAAAACTTAATATGTGATGGTACATATTCAATCTTTTCAACAGTTCGAACTATGCATGCAGAAAAAATGGCAATCATAAAAATGAAACCACTTAATGAGCATACATAGAATCGAGTGGCAAGACGTTCAGATAAAAGAGTCTGTTCATTACTCGAAGATTTTTTGAAAAGATTTAGCTCCAGAAAATGTTGCCACAATGTATTCACTAATTCAGGTACCATTTGAAATGTAATTGCACTGTATAAATTGAAAAATATAAACGGTTTCTGTTTTTATTAAGAAGTGACTAACATATTATCCTGATAAAGTGAAGTAATTTACAAATGTCTCAAAAAAGAAACAGGCAATTCTATTGATTGCTTACTTGCCTGGTAATCATTATATTATTTGAAAAGAAAAGTAATTTCACATATATATGTCTCCTTGAAACAGCATATGTAAGTTTTCTACATGCTTTACAGCAAGCTAAATTTTATTTTTTAGTATGTTAATTTTTATGAAATGTTTTTCTACAGAGAAATAAAATAAAAATGACTTCGAGCACATTAGCAGTATTAACTCTTCTAATAGTGATTATTGACGATATTTATATTAAGAAAATGTTTTACTAGTTTTTCTTTTTCTATGACAATATATGTATGGATAAAAGCAATCATGTCTATTAGTATATTGATAAGATAAATTTTTTTGCTATGAAAAGACTTATATTTTAATTGATCAATTAAATATACTGAATTGATCAATAAAAAAAACTTAAATAACAACAATTTAACTGAAGTACAATAAATATATTTTATGATCAATAACTTAACTAATTGAAAATTAATTTAATGTAATCACAAATAATAAATATAAAATAACAATTTGTTATAATGAATGATAATCAAATAGAGAAATGCACCAATATTCTTAAATTTAATTACATTCAGAGAGTGTGGTTTGGGTGTGAGTGATAAGTCTTCATCTACATCCACATCCCAAATCTGCAACGGATTCTGGCTTCATTGAAACGGAACTCGAAGCTGATACCCACAACATTACTTGAAAACTTTCGTTCAAAGAAATAGTGTGTGAGAGAAAATGATACCGTATTCAAAACAAGTTCGCACGTAGTTAGATGGTTAAAACAAAGTAGAAGAAGGTGGTAAAAAAAAATGTTTGAAATTCAGATGATGATAATGAAGATGATATAATAACGTTTGATTCTGTTTGTCCTTCATCATTATGTGGTTTTTTATTAGTAGAAAGTGAAAAGGATTTTATTGTCTAATGTTTTTTCAGGATCTTGTTTAGAGTTCATTGATTGTCTTCCACTCACAAAAAAAGAGGATGGTTTTGAGATGGACTCTATTAATAACTGTTGGAAAATTGAACCAAAACTTCTGCAGTGCAGAAATCGATATGCTGTGACATTCCTTCTATATAAAATTATCAATTCTTTTAAAAAATTTTAAAAAATTCAGGAGGAGTTCAGCTCCTGGTAGCTTCCTCTTGGCCCCGCCACTAGGTCCAATCAATGTACAATCTTTAATGTGCCGATTTTGATTATAAGCACTTGAAAAATATAATGTATGTATTTCAAGTTAACTATATAGTAACATATGACAGCAATATTGTACAATTGTTAGCAATAATATTTTGATAGAAAAAGAGTTCTTCTATAACAAAATAAATGTTGTAGATTTGTAGCTTATCAGCTTGCGGTTTGAATTCATTCCTCAATGTTTAAGATTACTTCTACCTTTATAGAACAACAGTCTACTTGTTCAAGATGACCATGGATCACTAGTTATTTATGAAATCAATCTCAAGAATTTTATATGAATCGGTGCACTGAATAAGCGTCTTTCCAATAGTGAAAACTGTAGTTCTCTATCCTGTTCCTATCAAAAGTTATTTTAAAAAATATCCATCCATCGTCTTTCTTTTTTGGAATGGGCATTAGTATAAATAACAGCAAGTGATGAGTTCTTCAGCTATCTGATGTTTTCATCCCTCTCACAAAATCTCATTATCAGTGAGCATCAGATTCCATTTTCAGTTCGAACTTTATTGGCAATAAGCAAAAGTTTGGAAAGGCTGTGGAACATAATCAGTTAATAGCGTTTTAATTTTGCTCATGGATTATTTCGGTCGGTGTCTCTTTTCTATGAGAATCAGAAAAGAAATGATATTGATAACGTATGAGTCGATAGATCATTTCGGTAACTTCCATCAATGAAAGAAAACTGATACCAATCCACAGGCTCGTTTGGCCGCCAACATTTTACAGAAGATCAACTCCGCTCATTGTTGCTTGTTGTGTATATTTTTCGACCAGCATTGACTCTCGCACAATATCAATTGCCACATATCTATTTCGAATACGAGTACGCCACGATGTCGACCAATCATTGGGCAATGGAATCAATGAATTTTCTACAAATATTTTTATTTGATCTATAAGACAATCTGGTGGTGCAGAAGCTGATGATGTTTTCACTGAATAATCGTTAGTGGAACATTCTTGTTGACAATTCGAACAAAAATAAGCATATATATTGGGTAAGGTCATGAATTCATTGGCGGCTGTGCTATAACAGGTATTAGTCAGGTTGCAAATTGGTGCATTAATAATAGTACTTGTGCCAGGTAGAACAATTGACCGAAATGACTATTGAAAGAAATTCACGCAGGGTGTGGGTGTGGAGTGGCTGGGTGTGGGTGTGTGGGTGTGGCTGGATGTGGGTGTGGGAGTGTGGGGTGTGGGTGAGTGTATGTGTGAATGTGGGTGTGGATATGAACGTGAGAGAAGACACTCACACCCACACCCACACCCCACACCCCACACCCCACACCCACACCCCACACCCACATCCCCACACCCACATCCCCACACCCCAGACCCCACACCCACATCCACACACCCACATCCCCACACCCTGAGCAAGTAGTTTTTCATGCATTTTATTTCGATCTCGTGGTCGCAGGGTACTAGCTAGAAAAATATTTTAGAGTCAATTTAAATTTCAATACGAATAATTGTTCAATAAAAATATATAATTTTTCTAAGTGATAATTCATGAGAAGATACAATTCTAGAAGGAAAATATAATTCACATTTTGTTTTTACACAAAGTTAAGTAATTAAATCATTCAATGAGCATACTTTTATTTTTAGTAAGAGCAAATATGTTATACATGTCTGAGTAAAATTATGAAAATACAATAGATTAAGACAAGATTATTTTTCGCATAAATCACTACAATTTATTTTACAAAATTCAGAAATCATTTTAAAAAGTATTGAATCGTTACTTTATAGTTTATATCACTTTTACAACTCTCGCTCAAGTATTCACTTTGTCTCTGTTTGAGCTTTGAGAACGAAAAGACATGTTTGCTAGAGGTATTAATCATATTCTAGGCAAATCATTGTTTCTCATAGTGAATTCACAATGTATTTAGTTTATTGTCATATAGGAAATGAAATTCGTATTCATTTAAATGATATCCACAAACATTTTATGCTTCTTTTTCTATTTATTAAATATCATGAAAATAATTCTGTTATTTGCTTATCCATTATATGAAAACAATATGTTCGATTATTTTTATAAGAACGAATTTACAGATAATTAAATAAATCAGAAAAGTGTTTCAAATTTTTCAGCAATTATTTGAAATTAACTTCAATTTAAAGAAATCTATTCAACCAAATGTTTTTTTTGTCATCTAACAGTTGAGAAAAGATATAAAATATTCTAGCCATTCTTTATTTAATATAGAAAACAATCGACTTTTTTCATATAGAACGTTTTGTATTTTAATTGTAAACGATTCATGATAGTTTTGGTTAGACTCCTATTATTAATATCTAGTGATGCAACTAAGATTTTCTATCAGTTTGCGCTGAACACACTTCTCACATCATCATTATTTATATCTCAAATAACGGCATGCTTTCTTTACTACTGTCTTCTGCTGATACTAATATCAAAACCATTCTCAGGGAGAAAAATAAATAAAAACGGACTAGATACAGAATGTAGACCATGACCATGATCTATATGATAATGATGAATTATATCAGGATATTGATCTAAAGTGAAGGTGATCTCTAACATTCAAAGAACGTATTTTAACACTAACTCAGATTCGAATATAAAGCTTTCATATTTTTAGCAAAATTCGATAGGATTCAACAACTTTTTCTATGAGACGATTCTAAGCAAATTCTCCGATCTGTAATAGGGAAAAGAAACAATTGATTTCATAACTAAGACTTGAGCAAATAGTTCTATATGAAACACCAGTAAATGAAGAATAAGTTCTATTTGTCTAGAATCTTGAAAAAATAAATAAATAATGACCGTTTGTTTAGGATGTGGATGTGAGTGTGGGTGTGGAAGCTCTGGTCAGCTGTAGCCAGATGCCATAGTCACAGGCAGACCTCACACCCTACACCCACCTTTTTTCGAAAAAGTCAAGAACTAAGGGTTTTATAGAGCTAGACTTTGATCTCTAATGATTGTAAACAATAAGCTAGACTGAAATCATCATTCAGAAAAAAAATTGTGCCTTTCTAGAATGCTCTATTATAAGATGCTAGTGTTCTCGTGAACCCCACGAAAACCTCTTTTTGCCTCGAAAAATGTGAAATACTTCATTCAGTGATCGTTCAAGGTGATTATTTCTGACTTTTCAAGCACAAAAATTTTATTAGAAACATTGTTAGCCGCTTAAGTCCTCAAAATGGTGTTCATCCAGATAGGCTCCTTGTTCTAATGTGGCCTATAATTGGCTATTTTCCAGTAAAACAGAGATTGTTCAGAATTATTAGAATAAGCTCGTGTCATATAGGATGTAGGTGGTTGTGGCTATGACTGTTGATGAATGTTGGGAACAGACTTCTCTTCACCCTCACCCACATCCACACCGAATCAGAATTGTTCAGCACTCTATTAAGAAGTCTTCTAAAAAAATTACTATGGCCGATGAAGAAAAATTTATCCTTACACTTACATTTACATTTTTATTTTATTATTACGAAAAAGAATAGAAAAAAGCTCGTTTCTGATTGATCAGTTTTACTGCG